TTTTACACTTAAACAAAGGCACATGCTTGTCAATTATATCATACAATACGCTATAAAAATGCTCACAAGCTTGGTTTACATCAGTGATTCTATACAAATAACTCCAATCAGCGTTGAAAATATCCTGGTACAATAAAAGAAAATTCGCTTTTTTAAAATTGTACAATTTGGCCATATTACATGCAGCGAAATTGATGTAAGAAACTTTTTTTAATTGGAGATTAATATTTAACGCCGGATGGTGCATGTCTTCCGCAATTAATGGACATAAATCACGACTAACAGTACAGTGAGTTGAGGTACTAAAAACTAAGTCTAAAAGGCGACCATCGGAATTTGGAATAGAATTAAGCTGTGTTAAGTTTAAAAGTGAAGCCATATTACGAAGAGAACTTGATTTTGTATCATTCTTATTACTGGAAAAACTTGGAGAATTGAAATCCCCAATTAAAAATATATTAGAAAGCTCAATGGCGTAGCTTTCAAAGCATTCTATAAATAACACAAAATCAGTTACAGAAAGATCAGGCGGTATGTAAACTACAAATATGTGTAAATTACCTTCTTGACAAAATAACTTACAACCTATGATATCACACAGAAAAAAATCCTTAAATGTCGACATGTCCAGGCATTTAACGTTGAACTGAGCATTAACAGCCAGAACAACTCCCCCGCCGCTTTGACGATTGGATCTATTGAAGTCCCTGTCTGAACGAAATGCAATGTAATTTGGCGGAATAAATTCACTGTTATTGATCGATGGATCAAGCCATGATTCTGTAATACATATTATATCAAATACATTAGACGTTAAATTGGAGTAAATGTCATTAACACGTGATCTAATGCTGCGAGTGTTCTGATAATAAACAAAGAAAGTTTTGCTATTGCTGGGAAAGGTTGTAGGTGATTTAGTAGACTTTGAAGTTATGTTACTTACATTGGCCGCATCTAAGGACGATCTAAAAAATTGCTTTTAAAATCTGACAGAGGTTCAAAACGATTAAACACTTGAACAGAAGGCGTGACATTCACGTTCCCAGGAGACTGAGATTGGAGTCCTGAGCTCGTACTTGGGACACTTTGAACATCTGTAGGCTTGAAATTAGGAATTTTTCTAATATCTATGCGAACTGGTTCACCAAATACCACATTACGAAGTTTAGCTTCGGCAAATTTAAACGCAAAACAACTCTTATAGTCCCAGGCCGGATGGTCAACACTAATGTCAAACCCATGCATATGTTTGAGACTTCTACAGTTAATACAAACCTTAGCAACTGAGTGACAAGTATTTACCTGGTGCTCACCTGCACATAAAGGACAGATAACTGGTCTAGGGCACTTAGTTTTAGTATGATTGAACCCATTGCATTTAAAGCAACGTGTTACCGTCGTATCATCATACAATTTGCAAATATTTATGCCTACAAGTAATCCACCAGCTTTCATAACTTTCTTGTATGTATGTATATCCAGCTGAACAGTTGCCTGAAGTATTTTTTTGTTCTTTTTTAGGGGCCAGAAATTTAGAAGCCTATATTCAGTTGCATCTGCTAACAAATCAGAGTTTTGGGATTTTAAATAACTCATAAAAGACTCCTTATTTAGACAAGAAGGAATTCCGACGATTCTAACACGAGGGTGTTCTGATCTAAGAACAAAAACATCGTAATCATTCGATAGTTTATCTGCTGCAAGTTGTTTTAGTTTTTTTGAATTTTCAATATTATTACATCCTACGATGATAGCTCCATCCTTAGCTTTTTTGGAATTTGTGACAGAGATATTTTCATTCAATAAATCTACATTCCGCAACAGGTCTTCTTGTGTTTGGAAAGCTTTCTGCGCAACTTTTGGTTTAATCATTACTTTGGCTTGCGTTGCGGAACTCAATTTATTTGCATATGTATCAGTGGGTTTAATCGTGTCTGCAATAGCTACAGGAATTGCAGCACTACTACCATGGATCACTGCAGCTTTACTTGGATTGTCGGTTAATAACCTCACTAATTCTATATTAGATTGTTTCAATGCTTCCATCTCCCTTCTTAATTTTGTAACCTCCAATAGCGTTTTCTCGTTTTCCAACGCAATAACGTTTCGAATAATCGATTGCATCTCAGGATTCTGCAAGATAGTTGTCACATTAGATGCTACAGAATTAGGTGAATCAATAAAGTAGTTGTACATCGGAACTCTAAACACGCCATTACAATCCGCACAAAGAAATTTTACCTGTGAAGAATACCGTCGAAGCCTCTCACAAGTAGATTTATCTTGAGATAATAACCCCAAACACGAAAAGTGAACAGAGCGACCACACCCATCGCAAATAAAAGCAATCGCTTTTTCGACTGGAGCCATACACACAGGACAGCATTCAGAGACTGGAAAGTCTTTAATCTCAGAAGAGGGTGAATTTTCAGTGGACGACATCTGACAGACAGAATAAGGAGAAATCACTGCCAAAAATTAAGATGAAAATAAACAAAGAAAAGTCAACAACGATGGCGGCCGCTGACGTCGCCAAAAGCGACCTCGTGCGGCCACTAAACTAACAAAACTCGTAAACAAATAACTTTTAGAACACAAAGGGCTATGTAAAAGCGTAAAATTTAAATCAAGCAGCTCAAAAGACTGCTCGGCTTAATAAGCAACGCCTGTAGAACAAAATATAACAGATTTACAACAAAAGGAGAGAATTTTCCTCTCTAAATATGTAAATAACTATGGACATTGTAACAAACCTGACATATGGCACAAACGCACGCGCAATTACTTTAAACGTCTCCTTTTCCTATTCTGAGTCGATTCTGCATGCTTTAAGTGTGTTTGGTGGCTCAGAACCATCAAAAAACGTTGAAATATAGTTCAAATTCAATAAAAATCGACAAAAATACAGTTTCTAGCTAAAATTTGATGGTTTCGTTGCACTTTCCGAGCCCGTAGGGTATCTGAGTGGCTTAAAAGTACAAGAAAACACTTCAAAAGTGACGTTTCTGAAGAATTTTAACAGTTTTCTTGTATCTACGAACGCCAGAATGCATAAAATTGACCTAAACGTCTCCTTTTCCTATTCTGAGTCGATTATGCATGCTTTAAGTGTGTTTGGTGGCTCAGAACCATCAAAAAACGTTGAAATATAGTTCAAATTCAATAAAAATCGACAAAAATACAGTTTCTAGCTAAAATTTGATGGTTTCGTTGCACTTTCCGAGCCCGTAGGGTATCTGAGTGGCTTAAAAGTACAAGAAAACACTTCAAAAGTGACGTTTCTGAAGAATTTTAACAGTTTTCTTGTATCTACGAACGCCAGAATGCATAAAATTGACCTAAACGTCTCCTTTTCCTATTCTGAGTCGATTCTGCATGCTTTAAGTGTGTTTGGTGGCTCAGAACCATCAAAAAACGTTGAAATATAGTTCAAATTCAATAAAAATCGACAAAAATACAGTTTCTAGCTAAAATTTGATGGTTTCGTTGCACTTTCCGAGCCCGTAGGGTATCTGAGTGGCTTAAAAGTACAAGAAAACACTTCAAAAGTGACGTTTCTGAAGAATTTTAACAGTTTTCTAGTATCTACGAACGCCAGAATGCATAAAATTGACCTAAACGTCTCCTTTTCCTATTCTGAGTCGATTCTGCATGCTTTAAGTGTGTTTGGTGGCTCAGAACCATCAAAAAACGTTGAAATATAGTTCAAATTCAATAAAAATCGACAAAAATACAGTTTCTAGCTAAAATTTGATGGTTTCGTTGCACTTTCCGAGCCCGTAGGGTATCTGAGTGGCTTAAAAGTACAAGAAAACACTTCAAAAGTGACGTTTCTGAAGAATTTTAACAGTTTTCTTGTATCTACGAACGCCAGAATGCATAAAATTGACCTAAACGTCTCCTTTTCCTATTCTGAGTCGATTCTGCATGCTTTAAGTGTGTTTGGTGGCTCAGAACCATCAAAAAACGTTGAAATATAGTTCAAATTCAATAAAAATCGACAAAAATACAGTTTCTAGCTAAAATTTGATGGTTTCGTTGCACTTTCCGAGCCCGTAGGATATCTGAGTGGCTTAAAAGTACAAGAAAACACTTCAAAAGTGACGTTTCTGAAGAATTTTAACAGTTTTCTTGTATCTACGAACGCCAGAATGCATAAAATTGACCTAAACGTCTCCTTTTCCTATTCTGAGTCGATTCTGCATGCTTTAAGTGTGTTTGGTGGCTCAGAACCATCAAAAAACGTTGAAATATAGTTCAAATTCAATAAAAATCGACAAAAATACAGTTTCTAGCTAAAATTTGATGGTTTCGTTGCACTTTCCGAGCCCGTAGGGTATCTGAGTGGCTTAAAAGTACAAGAAAACACTTCAAAAGTGACGTTTCTGAAGACTTTTAACAGTTTTCTTGTATCTACGAACGCCAGAATGCATAAAATTGACCTAAACATCTCCTTTTCCTATTCTGAGTCGATTCTGCATGCTTTAAGTGTGTTTGGTGGCTCAGAACCATCAAAAAACGTTGAAATATAGTTCAAATTCAATAAAAATCGACAAAAATACAGTTTCTAGCTAAAATTTTATGGTTTCGTTGCACTTTCCGAGCCCGTAGGGTATCTGAGTGGCTTAAAAGTACAAGAAAACACTTCAAAAGTGACGTTTCTGAAGAATTTTAACAGTTTTCTTGTATCTACGAACGCCAGAATGCATAAAATTGACCTAAACGTCTCCTTTTCCTATTCTGAGTCGATTCTGCATGCTTTAAGTGTGTTTGGTGGCTCAGAACCATCAAAAAACGTTGAAATATAGTTCAAATTCAATAAAAATCGACAAAAATACAGTTTCTAGCTAAAATTTTATGGTTTCGTTGCACTTTCCGAGCCCGTAGGGTATCTGAGTGGCTTAAAAGTACAAGAAAACACTTCAAAAGTGACGTTTCTGAAGAATTTTAACAGTTTTCTTGTATCTACGAACGCCAGAATGCATAAAATTGACCTAAACGTCTCCTTTTCCTATTCTGAGTCGATTCTGCATGCTTTAAGTGTGTTTGGTGGCTCAGAACCATAAAAAAACGTTGAAATATAGTTCAAATTCAATAAAAATCGACAAAAATACAGTTTCTAGCTAAAATTTGATGGTTTCGTTGCACTTTCCGAGCCCGTAGGGTATCTGAGTGGCTTAAAAGTACAAGAAAACACTTCAAAAGTGACGTTTCTGAAGAATTTTAACAGTTTTCTTGTATCTACGAACGCCAGAATGCATAAAATTGACCTAAACGTCTCCTTTTCCTATTCTGAGTCGATTCTGCATGCTTTAAGTGTGTTTGGTGGCTCAGAACCATCAAAAAACGTTGAAATATAGTTCAAATTCAATAAAAATCGACAAAAATACAGTTTCTAGCTAAAATTTGATGGTTTCGTTGCACTTTCCGAGCCCGTAGGGTATCTGAGTGGCTTAAAAGTACAAGAAAACACTTCAAAAGTGACGTTTCTGAAGAATTTTAACAGTTTTCTTGTATCTACGAACGCCAGAATGCATAAAATTGACCTAAACGTCTCCTTTTCCTATTCTGAGTCGATTCTGCATGCTTTAAGTGTGTTTGGTTTCTCAGAACCATCAAAAAACGTTGAAATATAGTTCAAATTCAATAAAAATCGACAAAAATACAGTTTCTAGCTAAAATTTGATGGTTTCGTTGCACTTTCCGAGCCCGTAGGGTATCTGAGTGGCTTAAAAGTACAAGAAAACACTTCAAAAGTGACGTTTCTGAAGAATTTTAACAGTTTTCTTGTATCTACGAACGCCAGAATGCATAAAATTGACCTAAACGTCTCCTTTTCCTATTCTGAGTCGATTCTGCATGCTTTAAGTGTGTTTGGTGGCTCAGAACCATCAAAAAACGTTGAAATATAGTTCAAATTCAATAAAAATCGACAAAAATACAGTTTCTAGCTAAAATTTGATGGTTTCGTTGCACTTTCCGAGCCCGTAGGGTATCTGAGTGGCTTAAAAGTACAAGAAAACACTTCAAAAGTGACGTTTCTGAAGAATTTTAACAGTTTTCTTGTATCTACGAACGCCAGAATGCATAAAATTGACCTAAACGTCTCCTTTTCCTATTCTGAGTCGATTCTGCATGCTTTAAGTGTGTTTGGAGGCTCAGAACCATCAAAAAACGTTGAAATATAGTTCAAATTCAATAAAAATCGACAAAAATACAGTTTCTAGCTAAAATTTGATGGTTTCGTTGCACTTTCCGAGCCCGTAGGGTATCTGAGTGGCTTAAAAGTACAAGAAAACACTTCAAAAGTGACGTTTCTGAAGAATTTTAACAGTTTTCTTGTATCTACGAACGCCAGAATGCATAAAATTGACCTAAACGTCTCCTTTTCCTATTCTGAGTCGATTCTGCATGCTTTAAGTGTGTTTGGTGGCTCAGAACCATCAAAAAACGTTGAAATATAGTTCAAATTCAATAAAAATCGACAAAAATACAGTTTCTAGCTAAAATTTGATGGTTTCGTTGCACTTTCCGAGCCCGTAGGGCATCTGAGTGGCTTAAAAGTACAAGAAAACACTTCAAAAGTGACGTTTCTGAAGAATTTTAACAGTTTTCTTGTATCTACGAACGCCAGAATGCATAAAATTGACCTAAACGTCTCCTTTTCCTATTCTGAGTCGATTCTGCATGCTTTAAGTGTGTTTGGTGGCTCAGAACCATCAAAAAACGTTGAAATATAGTTCAAATTCAATAAAAATCGACAAAAATACAGTTTTTAGCTAAAATTTTATGGTTTCGTTGCACTTTCCGAGCCCGTAGAGTATCTGAGTGGCTTAAAAGTACAAGAAAACACTTCAAAAGTGACGTTTCTGAAGAATTTTAACAGTTTTCTTGTATCTACGAACGCCAGAATGCATAAAATTGACCTAAACGTCTCCTTTTCCTATTCTGAGTCGATTCTGCATGCTTTAAGTGTGTTTGGTGGCTCAGAACCATCAAAAAACGTTGAAATATAGTTCAAATTCAATAAAAATCGACAAAATACA